GCGAGTTTTATCAACGAGACTGGGTCCCTGCGAAGATTCCGTGAAGTTTGTGATAGAGGCAATTTTGCTAAGTGACACGTGAGTCTAACGATGCTGAATTATTATTATTTTTCGGAAGATTTTGTAAGATGCTTGTAGATATTTCAACGAACTTCCTAGAAGATTCCGTGACGTTTTTACTGAAGACAATTTCCGTAAGTCCGACATCAATGTATAATAACAGTGGTAAATTATTGTTTTCCGAGAAGAGAATCTTGTCGAGGAAGTTGTACGAATATACAGGATATAGTACTGCAGTATACAGTACGAGTAGCACTATCGAGCATGTGATGATTTCTGAATGATTATTGAGCATAATTAATAACAAATGTATTATCTACACATTTTTAAACTCAATTTTCTCGTAAACGAAGCTTCAAACGGAAAAATGTTATTGCTTTTTTCGATTTACTTTTGCAGGAAAGATCACTGTCTATCCGAGGGTACTAACTGAGGGATGGCAACACCCTGTATTAGTATTAACACGAAAGGAATTTTCAAGTAAAGTTTACAAGTTACCCCAAGGTTACCATAGCAAACGTGACAAGGAAGACGAATTACTTCTGTCAACATCAAAACTCGAATAATCAGCAGAACCGAAAGACACTCGTACACGAAAATTCCACACCTACCCCCATAACTGCAAATAGCACAGAGAAAAATTCAAAATACGATACTACCACCAGAAATTTGCTTCATTTCTTGAATCACTATAACTCGAAAGCAAATCCAAACCTACCATCGAGAAATACAATTTTCTTATACTCGATTCACCCCTATACCTCGGAACCTGAATAATCACCAGAATCACGATACTCATGTCGTCATATCACACGATCCCATAATCCGCTTATGACCTCTACCTAGATCCGAACTTATCATTAGAAATACCTTGGAAAAGTAAAATTCGAAGTACAATATTATTGCAAATGTTGTTCACTTGCGAAATTAAAATCTTCGAAAATCGAATTGAAAACTACCCCAAAAGTAAAGACCGAAGGATTTTTCAAAATGCAAGAAATGTGCAGCAACCGATTCAGCATCATCCTCGCAAACGCTGCGAAAGAAGAGAAATGGTTCCTATCGCGAATTTCCTTTTATTTCCCGATCCGCTCGATCTAGCAGCGCCACCCCCTGTTCTAGAACCACCCCGTTCCCATCCGCGCGGTAACATCGACGTAATAATTCTCGAGCGAACTGTACATAATGGAATATTACACGGGCCATTAAAGAAACGTTAATCTTGGCCACAACAAGTTCAGAAGCGCTTACAGGATGCTCAAACGCGGCCGGGATTATACTTTGTACACCGGCTTTGATCCTCCTTCGCCCTGGAGGCTGTTCCATTCTCTCTCCTTCTCTTTCCAATCCTATCTCCGTCTACCCCTCTCTCTCATCTCTCTCCCTCTCTCCCTTGTGCCTTCCGTTCGACCCTCCATCCGCGTAATTTGTTAAAGCGCTAAATTCCGCGATCGTCTCGCCCCGTGTCGGAACAGCCAGGTTCTGCTGGAACGCCGCAACTTACGCCGCCCGTTTACGTTAATTGACTGCTCGTTTTAATTTCCCCGAATGCTCGTCGCGATTCGCGAAGAATGCAATGGAACCCGGTGTTTTATTCGGTTCTTGGGTTTGGCGGATTGTAAATTCGGCGGGGGCGGTTTATGGGTGGTTTATGCGTTTGACGTTGCACGGGGGCGCGGAGTTTTGGATTTAGCGGTATGTCGTGGTCGGGTAGTTGCAGCTGTCGTGTTATTTTTGCGATACCATTGTCGAGGGTCGCTGGAATTATTTTCCACCGCGCAAGGTACTATGTAATTTCGCTGGAATTATTTAACGTTACCCGAGACACTGTATATAACGTAATTAGGATTATTTAATATCAGGTGTGCAAGGTGTTATATAGCGTTATGCCTAGTGCAGAATATAGTGATTTGTGGGTACTAGTTACGCAATATTTCATTTTTGCAAAATTATTATGCTTCGTAAAATTATCACCGAAGTTTTTAATATTATAAATACTATATTATTATATCAAGTGTTTGAGATTTTCATATGGTGAAGAATTATGCAAGAATTCGGCATAATAGCACTGAGAGATGAAGGTAAAATCCGAAGTGTCATATTTTTATGCAGCTGAACACATTAGTCACATGTCTGTATAGTGAAACAGAAAAATATATTAGCTACTAAGTATAATATTTCCAATGTTTGAATAAACGACTCACGGAAATAATCTCTCGACCTATCCAGTTCCGTTTATTAATATTATTTTGATATTTACAACCCTAACAGCGGCCATACTGCACTTTTAATGACAAATAATTTTTAAACAAAATCCGCTCCATCCCAGTTCTCTCGACACCCCACAGCTACCAAAAGCATTTCGCTTCCTTGTAACGATGAAAAAGGGAAAGATGTAGAGAGAAGATGAAGAAGAAAAAGGAAAAGAAACGCACTGTCTCGGTGTTATCCCCTTTTCTGTCGGAATTCCTGTCCAAGCATCTTGCCTGGCAGACGTATACACCTCGGAGCCATTACCAAGGCGCGAGGGAAAGAAAGACGAAGAGAAAGAGGAGACAGAAGGGGTAGCAAGGGGGTAAGAGGGTAGCAAAGGAGGACGACGAGAGGAAAAGAGAATTTAGCGACCCTCTTTCGCTTTTTACCCTGAGCAAGAGTCGAGAGCCCCTTAGCCACCGTTTATTGGACGCATGCAAATATCCATGGCAACGAGGGACCACCATGAGAAGCAACCCCGTCGCGAGCTCTCCCCGTCTCTCTCTCTCTCTCTCTCTCGTTCTTTGCGTATTAGTGGGTGGAGTGCAAATCTTCGAGATATCACGGAGAAAAAGGGAGGACCTTCGGGAAAAATTTTCTTTTGATCCGTGCGTTATTCCTACCACCGCCAGCGATTTCTTAATTGATTCCTTTGTCCCGAGAATTCCGCCTCTCACCCTCGTCTACCACTTCGAGGAATCGAACGATCGCGACTCTGCGTTCAGCAGCGTTTTTTAAGATCGTTTATTCGATGAAATTTTTCCCACTTCCTCGTAACACTGTCCAATTCATTTTTATTCTTTCTCTAATCTCTAACACGCAGAATGATAGAGTAATTTCGACTACGGATTCGTTTTCGAGAAAGTGAATTCTACAAGAATTATCCAATGGATATTGCAGATTAAAATTCGCGTTGAAGAGAGTTTCGAGAATGATACGGATGCAGAGGATTTATTTTCAATTTTGTGGTGGGCCAATGAAGATTTCAAAAAGGAAGATACTATTCTACTATTTTTTTTTCTCAGTTTGAACATGGCAATAAACGAGATCAAAGCAATTTTAAGTTGCCAAAATAATCCAGTTATCCTTACGACATTATAGAAAAAGAAAGGGGAAATTTAAATCTATTCTAAAGATAGTTGAGACTAGAAGAACCTAACAATTTTAAGTTGCCAAAGTAATTTAGCTATCCTTACGACATTATAGAAAAAGAAAGGGGAAATTTAAATCTATTCTAAAGATAGTTGAGACTAGAAGAATCTAACTCCTGGTTGTTTCGGACAAAGAATCCTAAAGAGGAAAGTGTCTTTTTAAATGCAATTACTAAATCTAATTTTTATGAAATTTCCAATACTCAGATGGACAATTTTTAATTTTGATAAGGCAACTACTAGGAACTATTATTCGAAATTTTACCATACAAAGGTTGAATATATTTCATCCCCTTTAATAGACTATATAACACTCAATATATTTTATCCACGAATTAATGAAGTATATTTTAATTCGGCCACTAATATCATAATTCGACTCTAGAAATATCAAAAATTTCCTGCATTATCTAAACGCTAACTCATACTTTCCACATCGAGACAGAAAAGGAAGCAATCTTTTCTCAAAATCATAATTTTCATTTCCAAGATTAGAAATCAGATTAATTCGAGTGATAAATAATCAATCTATCAATTTGACTTCCATGGTTTCATTCTTCTCTATACTTTTAACTATCATCGAAGATCCCGATGTTTTCACAAAATTGCGTTTTACGAGATGACACGGACACGGGCATCAGCTTTCTCTCTTCCTCTTTTTAAATTCATCGCCCTGTTAGTTATCGCGTCATAAGATCATTTCTCTCGCGATCGTAGCTTCAAATGGGTCGACAACGATGGAATTTATGTCATTCTGTTTACTCGAGGATTTCATCGGTACGCATAAACACACCCCCATAGTCACCTCGCAGAAAACTGATTTCCATCCCCTTCCCACCCGCTTCCCGCCCTTCGACTATCTATGCAAATGCGTTTCTGTTTTGTGTGCGTACCGAGAGACCCGTTAACAATACGCTTGCGCCCTTACGACCTCCACCCTACAAAAGTCGAGCTCCATTACGCGTGTTTTGCGACATGCTTTATAAACTGTCGTCCTTGTTACCGTGGAAAGCATCATTGGACCCAAAGCTCCCCCTTTTTGCGCCCGTTTCATTTAATGTTCCGTTAACGTAAGCGCGTAAAGCTCGCGTTTTGCCACTGTAATGGCGGCTTCCGGAGGGCTCTCGGGAATTTTGTTCGAATACTCTTCAGGAGCGTCGTATGCTTTCGAAAGGACAAACATTTATAACAACTCTCGTTTCGATATGTCACCGTATTTTCGTTCTTTCGAAGACCCTAGTTCGATACCTTGCTTAACCTTGCTTAAACATTATTTTCAATCTACGCAGAATCTAGTTAAGTCTGTGCAAAAATTTTCGAGACTCTCTGTACGCAAAATTAATTCGCTATTGTTGCTTCATCGAAGTGGACGGATGGATGTTCCGACATTTAAATTCTTGGAAATTCAGGAGATACCTGTTTAAGAGTGGACTGCTGGAAAGGAGAAATTATAAAGGAGGATGTTTAGAAAAATATACGAATCGACGGTGAATTTTCTGTAAGACAATCGGGAGAATGCGAAGGCTTTGTACTTACACTAGGAATGTTGTCGTTGGTGCAGACACCTTCCTGGAGCAAACGGTCTCTGATCTCCCAAGCGAAGATAGAAGGACACTCGCTTTTGTAAAGGGAGATCTTGCTTACGACTTCCGCCGTGGCTACACGAGGTTTACTGCCACCGATGGCTCTGGGCCTAATAGATCCGGTTTCATAGTACCTGCAATAATAATAATTTGCGGTACAATACGGTACATGTTAGTAACTCTGGTTTGAACTAAACTCGGAAACATAAAATTTTCTAGCATGTACATTTGCAAAAAACGATCTCACGTTACCTACAAGGATTTTAAAGAATGGCATTGAGAATAAAAATTAGAAATGTGGATATGTATCTATTCAAATAATTAAAGAAGCCTTTTTCAAATTTTGGGTACTTTAATTTCGAAATATTCGAGTAAATAATGGAACATTCGAAACAAGTTAATCGCTAAAGAGCTTTAACAAAGAATGTACTTTTCATCTTGCCTTTTTAATAGCTGGTAATTGGTAATATTTCTGACCGTGAGATCTTTCGTGGTACGATATAGTAAAAAAATAAAGAGGCAAAGTGAGCAATATTTCAACCAACCTTCCAAGAATCTTCGAAACGCAGCCATTGCTGACCTGCAAGATCCTGGAAATATCGCAGGGTCTCGCACCAGAATGAGCTAGTTCGACGATCTTTTGCCTCGTCGAGTCTGGAAGCGGTCTACCGCCGACGAACACACCCCCGAGCTGATTCACGCCACTGTGACCTGAAAACACAAGGGAACATCGATTAGAAAAATCATAGGCATACTGTCAAATTGGTCCAATTATCTTGTATAATTTATTTATTATTTCCACACAAAAATACCAGACTTGGAATTTTAATAGTAATACCAATATCACATTGTCCTTCAGTTTAATAAATTAACATATTAATTTTTAAATAAAAGTGCCCAAGTACATACCAGAAATTAACATTCGTTATTAAAGGAACATTAAACCGTCCGATATTAAAAATAAAAATACTCAGTTTTACTAGACATCAGTAAACAACCCGAAAAAATTCAGAAAATTAACTTTCATGGTATACTATATCCCAGATAGCAAATTATAAATGCAGCTATAATCGATCAAAGAATGCCTTTCGCGTTTAACAAAATCACGTGGAAGCTAAGAATCGGAAAATAAACCCAAGATGAGATGTACTTCTTGGTAGGAAGAAAAATCCAGACTACCCTCTCCGCCTCCAAAAACCTTCCAAACATTCTCACATCTCGAAGAATACCTTCCTCGTCATCGATCACGTATTTTTTCGCCCCACCCGAAAATTTCCAGTGAAAAAGAAAAGGAGGAAAAAACAGGAGAAAAGAAAAAGGACGACGTAGGAGAAGTAAAGAGGAGGGGTACGTCTCCTTTCTTCTCGAGGCTGCTCGTTCTCCAAGAGGGTGAACGAGCATGGCTGGGGGGTTGGCTGCAGGCGTTAAAACGTTAGCGAATCCCATCGTAGATAATCTTCGACTCATTGTGTCGGTGACACGGCGAACACACACGAAAGTCACCAGGCCTTCGGTGTCCTCCGTCTCCTCGCGAATCTTTTATATTCTCGCACCCGCCGTGAAGAAGACGAGCCACGGTGTCGAAGGCCTGCCACGCCCTAATTTTTCGGGGGTGAAAACCTCCAGCTAGAGGACTTTAAAAGAAAAATAGAGAAACGATGAGTACGAAGTGGATTCTTTGAAAGAAATACGGAATTTTCGTTGTTGACATAAGTTCAACGAACGCTGTGATCCAAGCACTCGAAGACTACAAGAGTCCAGCAATCATCCCTTTTATTTTATTTTATATTCGGGTAATTTACTCGGAAAAGACTGGAAATGACAGAACAATAATTTCGAGTTGAACCGTTCACTGCACAAATCGATTAACTCCACATTTTGTATAACCTTAAATATAAAAATTTATAACTAGTTAATAATGGTGGTCAAATTTAAATTACCAATGCTACTCTTGTAGATATTTGAAACCTTCTGACATATCAGTGTACAAAAATAATTGCTATGATTGTACCCTACCAGCAACCCCTAATACGAAACTGCATACTAATTTCCAGTTCCAAATCACTTTGACCACACTTGAAACACGTTTAACTAGACTCGAGTGCAATGATTCGACTCTGGATTCTTCCTACACTCTCATTCCTAACGTTGAACCAGCGAAGCAACTGCTCTTCGACTTCCTCGGCTAACTCTAAGGGTGGCGATATTTTTCGTCGAGTTCGTTAGGCGGAAAGAACCTAGAAGAGGAGAGTGGAGTCAGAGGGAAAGTGGATAGGAATAAAGAAGAAGGTCGAAAGGAGAGTTTGGGTCGGCAGATATTTTTTGCGGGGAACGGCACTCGGTAGACATCGGCTGAGAAAAATTTCCAGACGGGGCTAATTCGACGCGTCGTCGTCGTCGACGTCGTCGACGTCGTTGGCTACCCGGCGCGAGTTATAAGGGAGATTTACGAGCGTATGCGATTGACGAAAGGGGGGCTCACGGTCGATTGACTTTCGAAAATGGGCCTCGCGCGCGAATCGCCCAGACGATTCCACGCGCGCGTATATACCTAGCCGATACGAGTGTTCTTTTCATTCGGTGAACCTTTTCTCCCGTCCCTATCTATAACTCACCGATCGGCAACGTGCAAACTGGTAAACGTGTAAACACGTTTACACGTCGTCGTATTTTATAAATTAGGGATAAGCTCCGGCTATGGGAAAAGGATTCGATAGGACCGAACGGAGGTTTGTACAGGGGATTAATTCTGGGCTGTCTTTCATGTACTTTCTATCTTTTTGCGGGGTGTTAAGTGCAGTTTAATGCGCTGCATGTGTGTACATAAGAGACCTAGCTAAACGTGTCGACAACGAAGGATTCGGTTTATGTACTCATCGATTACATTGTCAGTTACGCGACATCCGTGACTGCCTAATTAACCCTTTGCACTCGGAGGCACCCTTCAGTCGCCATTTGATAAAATTTCGAACACCAATATTAATTAATATGCCAAATTTAAGATAATGTAACCGTGTGAGAGGTATCGAAATCAAATAATTCTACGTGTTAATTATTATAGATCTTGTATTTACTGCTCAAAAAAGTATTGTCAGCTCTATAGTAGAAAATCTTTGAACTCCTATACTTTTTAACCAAAAAATCGTCGAGTGCAAAGGGTTAATACTAGGTATATACTTCTGCAGTAAAGGCATGAAATACATTAAAAGTAAAAATCTGTGACAAACTTATTCTCCAATAAAAATCCAGTATAGCGGATTATTTGACTTTGTATTAAATTTTACAACTGCATTGGTATTTTAAAAATGGAATTTACTCTACTTATGAGGGATTAGAAGTGATAGTAGAAAGGGTTTTAATATGAAGACACGTTGCCAATGATTACTATAGATTGATATACGTCGATGATTAATATCGGATAAAAGATAAGTGAACAAAATGAAATTCAAAAAATATAGATAAAATGTAGATACACCTTTAAGTTAGCTTATTAAGGATTAAGTAGAAGGAGTGAATAAAAATATCGTACAAGCCGGGATTTAATAAAATTAGTATACAACGAGAATTTTCTAGTATGAAATAACGTACACTGAGAAGTAAAATTAACGCTCGTTAATTGTTCATAATTGCGATTGTCTAAATAAACTCGAGTCAAACAAACTTGGAACCTCGAATGGAACTCTACGAAACCAAATAAGCCAAGTAATAGTTCAGATAACTTATTTGAAAATGGAATAGGAATACCTGCTAATAGTTGAGACCAAGTCGTACTAAATAGGATCCAGATCAGACATTCTAGAATTATACAGGAACACCTTCTGAAGAAAACACCCCCACCCAACTTGCGGCAAGTACCAACATCCCTTAACCATCGAATATATTTTATTTTTCTGTAAGGAATACGAGGCTTCACGAACCCAAGCAAAGGTTCCTAACTCATTAAAAGAAATCTCCAGCAACACAGGAAACGCCAAAAATATCCTCGGATTCATTCAATGTAACAAACAATTGTATGAATAAATCTAGCACCAACACCTAACGGTTCATATCGATAATGACCATGTTTTGATGCGACGTTAAGCCCTCAAATAATAATAATAAATAAATTGTATTGTGCGTTATAAGGTTCAGAATCTTGATTAACAAATACTCCTTGATCTCGCATTTTATGCATATACTGACAAATAATGTTCATAAGTAAATAAACGATGTAACAAAAGTAACCGAACAAGCCGAAACTAGTAGCTGATTTTTAATAAATTTAACAAAGAGTCTTGAGTTTACGAAACACCATGCATCAGCAAGGTAAATTCAAAAAAGGAAGGAAAGGAACTATTAATACCTCGCTAAAAGGGATAACACCCGATCGACCCGAAACACCCGCGGCGAACAGAGCAAACAGCAAAGAGAAACAGGGGATCCCAGACGACTAATGAAGTCCTAATAAACGACAGGCTTAGAGCAGTCACCCTTCCTCCTGATATTTAATACAAACGTTACAATATCAAAACACGTTTCTCTCGCAGAATGGCCACTCGAGCGCACCCCTTCGTCGCGCGGCTAATACGCGCGGGGTTACGCTCTGTCTGACTTAAGGGTGTACCCTTCTACTGTTACCTCGTTCTCTTGTAGATAAACAGAAGCACGCGTAAAGATACACACCATCAAATTATAATTCTTTCCCTTCTTCCTCCTATCTACTCTGCAACAACTCTTTTCACGCAATTTCCTTCCATTTACTCGCCTGAGAATACAAATTTTCCCATTACTATTTTCTTGAATCTTCTCCCATTTTTGTTCCCCATTTCCCATCTCTTCTCCGATTTTTCCTTCAAATTAGGATTCTTCTTCCTCCTTTTGCTCCTTTTCCTGTACTACTTTCTTTAATCTTCTTCCATTTTCTTGCCTGAGAATACAAATTTTCACATTACCATTTTCTTTAATCTTCTCCCATTTTTGTTCCCCATTTCCAATCTCTTCTCCGATTTTTCCTTCAAATTACGATTCTTCTTTCTCCTTTTGCTCCTTTTCCTGTACTACTTTCTTTAATCTTCTTCCATTTTCTTGCCTGAGAATACAAATTTTCACATTACCATTTTCTTTAATCTTCTCCCATTTTTGTTCCCCATTTCCAATCTCTTCTCCGATTTTTCCTTCAAATTACGATTCTTCTTTCTCCTTTTGCTCCTTTTCCTGTACTACTTTCTTTAATCTTCTTCCATTTTCTTGCCTGAGAATACAAATTTTCACATTACCATTTTCTTTAATCTTCTCCCATTTTTGTTCCTCATTTCCCATCTTTTCTCCGATTTTTCCTTCAAATTACAAGATTCTTCTTTCCCCTTTTACTCCTTTTCCTTTACTACTTTTTTTAATCTTCTTCCATTTTCTCGCCTGAGAATACAAATTTTCCCATTACCATTTTCTTGAATCTTCTCCCATTTTTGTTCCCCATTTCCAATCTCTTCTCCGATTTTTCCTTCAAATTACGATTCTTCTTTCTCCTTTTGCTCCTTTTCCTGTACTACTTTCTTTAATCTTCTTCCATTTTCTCGCCTGAGAATACAAATTTTCCCATTACCATTTTCTTTAATCTTCTCCCATTTTTGTTCCTCATTTCCCATCTTTTCTCCGATTTTTCCTTCAAATTACAAGATTCTTCTTTCCTCTTTTGCTCTTTTTATTCTGTTTCCTCTTCATTGTCTTTTTTA